TTATCACCTGCGGGGTGTATATCTCTCAGTTGATTCGATACGCAAGAGCATGCTCTACGTATGAACAATTTCTAAAACGAGGTAAGTTATTGACAATCAAGATAATGAAACAAGAATTTCAACAGTCACCATTTTGTAAGTTCTATGGTCGATACAATGACCTTATTATCATATACAATCTATCATTAAGTCATATGCCGACTGACGTTTTTCATACTAATTGTAAGGCTATTATTTTCACACTGAATTGTCGACGGATTTTCCCGTTATTTCCCGATCATGACAAAGAGCACACGACGGGTGTGACCGGTCGGCAGGGGATGCTCACTCCTTCATGGCACCTGATCCCACCTCTGATGTTTGTGGAGGTCCGTGTTTGCTCTGTTCCCGATTGTATTGTTACAATGGACTTTGAGTTTCAATACTGTTCATTGTCTTTATATTTCATTGACGATAGCAATAAATATTCACTTCTAGTCATATATTGACTTGTTATATAATAGGCACCAGAGGATCTGCCACATCTCTTTCATATTTTGACATTTTACTGAATACACGCATTTTTGAAAAAACCCACAAAAACACACACACACAGGATGAATCAGATCATCCATCCTCATCTTTCCTTATTTTAGTGTCATATTCCATCGTCACCTGTACATGGTGTTTATATCTCCAAATCGATTCGGTACGCAAGAGAATGCTTTTAATACGGTGTATTTTAAAGCAAGACGGGCTTATAATAAATAAGTTGATGTTACAGTGCTTTAATTAGTATCGTTTATGGTCAGCATTTCGCGATTTATATGCTCGTCATAATTAGAGACATTGTTTGAAAATACAGTCAATTATTGCGTCGAATTTCTACTAATACGTTTCATACCAACTGTTTGTCCAATATTTTCATTCTAATTTTGACTATATGACAAATTGGATGACCTCAGTTTTTCAACCTCCGCCATTTATGTTCTTTTAATCCATTATCACCTATATGTGGTGTTTATGTGTACTACACCGTAAATGCGTTAAATTTTTAAACCGATACAGACTGTTGAAATATAAATTGATGTTAAAGTGCTTTCAAACATCTTGTTTCAAGTCAGTATTTCGCGAATTCTATGTTCGTTATTATGACTTTATTTGCAAAAACAACCGTTCTTTTGGTCGTTCTTTGGACTGGCATGTTTCGATCCAAATATTTGGGCATTGTTTGTAAGCTAATTTTGTCTACGGATTATTCCTTTTGCCTGATAAATACATAAGGCTCATAGCGTTTGTGACGGGTCTACAGTGGACTATAATTCTGTCTAGCAAGGCACCTGATACCACCTCCAACGTTTCCAGGGATCTGTGTTTTCCCTGTTCAGGATTTGTTATGTTTATAAGATATATGAGATTGGTCACTGTTCTTCACATTTTTCATTCATTATTATATAAAAAAAAAATACATTAAATGTTAAAATATTAAACCGCTAGTACCTCATTTTATGGTTATTAACGTTAGATGCTATCCTCAACTTCGCCGAGTCGTAATATTGCAGTCATGCGGCAATAAAATAAATTGTAGAACAGAAAGTCAATATTTGTGCGTTTGAGTGATACATGTATAAAAGTAAATGAATGTTTTTTTTTAGTTTTATTCTTTTTTTAAGTTAATAAACTGATAATTTTCACCAAGGAATATAATAAACATAGGTTTACAAATTCTCTGGCTCAAGTAATTACTTCAAAAAAGATCGAGTTACCGCACTTTGCACAACACAATTCGTTATAGACAGATATCTACTGGTTTTGTTTGTTTGTATGTTCTTTAAGGTCCCTCTCGAGAATTTTTCACCCATATGGAGACGCCACCACTTGCCGGTGGAGAGCTGCAAATTTTGTCCTATACTCGGCACTTACGGCCATTGAGCAGTGAGGGATCTTTTTCGTGCCAGCACCTACTGCGACACGGGACCTCGGTTTATACGGTCTCATCCGAAGGACCGGTCTCCACGTACCACAGTGGGATTAGAACCTGCGACGTAAGGATCAACTCCTTACTTCGCGACTCTAGAGCAGACGCTCTAACCACTGCGCCACGCGGGCGACGATTTCTACTGGTTATAACTTTAACTAATATATATAGGATCTCCCATGATTTGTAGTTGGATATGATTTTTATCCAACGAGTTGTGTGTTTTTTATCCCCGAGCCTTGGCGAGGGGATAAAAACACACGACGAGTTGGATAAAAGTCATATCCAACTACAAATCATGGGAGATTCTTTTTATCCCATGTTTAATACTTCACAACCAATGTTTTACACTGTTTTATATAGGACTCCACTTTATTTTACTTCATCGCGCTAACGCAAAAACCATTGTGACGTCACAACTGTGGATTATGAAAAAATTATCCAATGAGTCATATCCACGGGATAAAGGGGTAAACATGGGATAAAATATTATATGTATAGATATCATACCTTGATATAGTTTTGTTTTAGTTTGAAAATATCAATTATATGCTACATAGCTATAGGTTTGATATTTTCAACGTTTTCTCCATGAAAATATATAATTCATTGCTTTCCAAAATGAAAAAAAAAGCATCCACATTTTTATGTTTAATTGCACATAATGGTTGAAAAAATATGTAAATCTAGATTGTTATTTTTATACTCCCATGCCAATACAAAAAAGGTACTTTCACAAATCTTTATGACACAGTGCCATTGCACACCTCTCATTTTACATTTCTATTGGACAGATATATTGGGTTTCCCAAAGCAAAACATGGACACTGCAATTCTTCCTATCACAATGGCGTATCCATCTCTAATCAGCAACTCATCCTAAACCGCTGATTAAAATTAAATGATTTTCATAGAATCTTTTTTTACATAGTGCCATTGTGCACCTCCTAGTTTTCAGTTCAATCGGACGTATATTTTGAGGTCTATCATAGCAAAACCTGGACACTGCAATTCTTTATTTAATATTGAATATATTCATCACTGCAATTCTTCCTATCACAATAGTGGCACCCATCTCTAATCCACAACTCCTCCTGAATAAAAATTAATGAGACTTTTACAGAATTATTATTACATAGCACCACTGTGCCTTCCTATGTTACATTTTGTCAAATATTTGTTGTTTCTTATAGCAAAAATAATAGGACTTTGGTCATTATATTCATATGCATGGGAGCGGGGGTATCATTTTGCGAACTCAATGCTTACAGAACATCTAGTTTTTAATCATATTGATACATGTAAGATGGAACTGTTGATCTTTCATTCTCATCTGTCAAAAGATTATGATAAAATTCGGCAAAGAAATGAATGATGACATTTAAAAAAAAGAAGAAAGGAAGGAAGAAAAAAGGAAAAATAAAAATTACATGTATGAAAAACGCGCAGATTTGGATGAGGACTTTTTATTTTTATTAATTTCATAATAAAAATATCAAATGTTGCACATTTTTGTCATAACAGCTCGCTCAGTCTCTTTTCGAGTTTATATATTTTCATTGAACAATAGCATACTGTCAGCAAATATTTTTAGAAGATTAGTTCACTTCTGGCAGGAGAAAAAAAATCTTTTGTCCGAAATTTCTAAAATATTAAAAACTCAAACATGTGTATGTAAAATTAACCTACATTTTTTCACGTTAATGGGTCATTTAAAAAATACCTTTGTTGAAGTTTTTTTAATACAATTTGATTCAAATATCAAATTCGAGGTTTCATCTGGTATTGATAAATTGATTACCGGAAATACTCAGAAATGTTATCAAATTATTGGTAAGCACTAGTCTTGATCCTTTCATTTTTCAAATATTAGAAGGAAACACTTGCTGTGGCTCTCAATTCGATACTGATATATATCGGCGACGTTTTATCAATTAACAATGGTAATTTCCTTTCTAATGTCGACGATATATCCCACCGATCTCGAAATAATAGACACTAAAAAGTCTGACATATCGGTTATATGTATGGATGTTTTAGGAACTCTAGATGTTAATGACAAACTAATAATTAAACTTCACGATACACGTGATAAATCTTTCCATCGTCATCTTATCCTATTTACGCACTACTGTTCCAATATCGTACTTCAACCGCCTCATCTCAACAATCTTTATAAAAAAGTCAATGTTTCGCAAATTCTATGGTCAATTCAATAACCTTGCTCGCAAATACATCTCCTTGGTTGGTCGTACTTTGACTGGAATGTTTCATACCTGTTGTAAGGCCATTGTTTTTCTACTGATTTTGACTAAGGATTACTTCCTATACCGGTTTAAAGGGGATGACCGTTCGACTGGGAATGCTTACTCCTAGACATCCGATCCCATGCAAGGGCCCAATCTCTGGTCCAGGGGACAGGAATTGTAAAAAAAAAAAAAAAAAAAAAAAAGGCAAGCTGCTTATTTTGATCATGCAAATAATTTGCCTGCTTGAAGTCCATGAATAATAAAGAAGATTTTCAAAGACGAAATTTACTTTCAATATGACTATGACCTGGTAGAGGACGTAGTGTTATTATAATCAAGGTTTCTCTGCTTCATGTAGATAATGTCCTTTAGAAAAAAAAATTTGGAAAGATGTAATGAATTTTCAATATTTGACAAACATAGCCCCAGTAGGGATGACACATGGATAAGGGGAGAGGGTGTGGACTGTACAATTTTGGCAGAGGGTTGTGTCTTCACTGTATTCTTGTTAACACTTTGTCCTCTAGACCTCTATGAGTAAATCTGGAGATTTAATTCAAAAGCGTTATGCAAATTCAATATAGGACCAACATAGCCTCATCCTGGGGCATAAATGCTAGAAAAAGGGGACATGAATTTTAAAATTTTAAAAAGGGTAATGCATTCAATGTATTTATAATATCAGTTTTTCCACTATGTGTCCTTTAGAAAAGAAGAACATTTTTAAAAACTTGTAAATTCTCAATATAATTGGAGAAAATATTTAATATGAGAACAAAGAGAGAAATAATCAATTGAAAGTAATAGAATTTTATTCAAGATAATGATTCATTTTTCATTCAAATATATCTTTGCTTTCTTCTGCATTTGCAGTTGTTCTTCACGTGCTATCTGCAATCACTAATAAAATCATCTCATTCCAAATTTATATGGTGTTATTTATAACGCCACACAAACTGAAAAAGTTAAATATTTCTTTCTTTTTATAAGAAGTTACACACTTTCAATGATTACTTCTTAAGCTGAGCGATAATGGCTTTGCAGAAATCTGGTAAATCTTTTGGCAGACGTGACGTTACCATATTGCCATCAACAACCACTGGTGAATCCTCGTATAACCCCCTACAAGACATAATAGAAAAAGTTAATGATAGGTAAAAAAAAAAAAAAACCAAGACAAAACATTCTCACTCCTGCATTTCTTATAAAAGTATGATACATTTACAGACATGATGATCAATGAAATAAGATTCTTGAAATAGTAACATAGTATCTCTTAGGATAAACAATTAACATAGAATAAAAGTCAACAGTGCATTTAAAATCTTTGTTTCGTTTTTCCAACTTTGAGACAGATTTGTCTGCTCACCCATTCTCTATCCAGAGGTGTCGTACCGCTACGCTTACAACACCTCTTTCAACCCTCGTGGTACAAGATTCTTGTACAAGTTTTAACTGTTATTTTAATTTATAATTAAAATAGTTATTAGTTATAATGTTTATGGATGAAGATGATAATTGAACATTTATTTTAAATTTGTCATCCCTTAAAACGAATTTTTTTTTCCAAGTTTAGAAGAAAATATTTGAATTAAAATTTAAAAAAAAAAACTTTGGAAGAAAATCCTTTGAAGAGTTTATGAAATTAAAATAAATCATTTTTTACCGATAAATAATAAATAAAAACGATTTTAAATATCATTTTTCAGGATTTAAAAATTTGCGAAGAATTTTGTATTACAAGCGTTTAGAGAGGTGCAAAGCGACAACAACCCTGCATAGAGAATGCTACTCACCCAGCATTTTCTACGTCGTCTTTGATGGCGACAAAACAAGTAAGCTTTTTCCCTTTCAAAATCTTTGCCGAGCAGAACATCCAAGCACCATGACATATAGCAGCTGTCGGCTTGCCTGTAATTCACATCATTATCGATATTATGGCAATAACCATTATATGAAATTTTGAACAGGTGTGAAAGAAAATGATTATTGCATTTTTAAATGATGTTTTGATGATATGATCGATGAAATTACAACGCAATATCGGACCTTTTTTTTCAATTACACTAGTTGTTTAACCAATAAAAAAAGGAAAAGAAATTAAAACAGATGGAAGTGATCTGGAAATAGGCGTGTATAGTAATGTACATGTACATGAAAATTCCAAAAAAAAAATTAGCCATATATGCTCGTCCTGACCATACATAGATCTTAAGTTACAAGTGAACAAGAAGTTTATTCTCTAGATTCTAGGCTTTAAGGACAAAGTTCCTAATTGAAACTTTAAAAAAAAAGATACAAAAGCATTCCAAAAAACAACATTGTATTTATTTATTTGGGTCAAAATTATTAGATGGTATGAAGATATAACATTGAAACGGACAAGGTGTCTCTAATACTGTCCAGAGGATATTTATACGTATAAAAATGCACCAAAACCTGGGTCATTCAGAGTTTAATTCAAATTTAAACATGCAGACTATGCATATCAGACCTTGAAATATTTTGTATGTAAGTATATTTTCGTAGGCATTAAAAGGTTGTTTTTCTAGGCTTGTCACAACTATAAAATAAAAAAAAAAACACCCCTCAACAAAAAATAAAAAAAACAAAACAAAACAATTCCACCTTGAAGTGTCATATCGAGCCACTGCATGAACATTTATATAATTTTTTTCAAAGTAATCATTGTTGTTGTAACATTTTCAATTTTGAATTCTTTGAAATACTGGAAGGGATAAAGAAATCGAGATGATTGGATGTTAAAAAATATACACATATGTTAAAGGCGGAGGCATTTAGGTTGTGTACTTAAATTTGCATGTGAAATTATGTACCCTTGTTGTTAGCACGGTCAACGTTAAAATGCCTCTCCAAGAAAAAAAATGTGGAAAGCTACATTATTTTCATGAAAAAGCCAATTTCATTTTCAGCTACTATTTAGAATAATTGGAGCCTACATTTAAAAAATAACAAGAAAGCATTTTATCCCTTTCCCTGTTGAGGTCAAATAAGAGATCAGAGATAGTCATAGTATGCATAAAATGTCAATGTCAGTTTATACATTGAATAACATTTGTGCCTATTAGTCGGCTTAAGTCATGTCTGATATATAAATGTCTTAAATAATTGATTCATCTAAAACTTTCAACATTAAGACAACCCTTGATCTTAAAAGATAGAAACAAAATAAAACAAACCATATGTTTCCAGCAATAAATATTACTTGATTTTATACAGAACTTTAGATCCAGAGTAACGCTCTATTCAATTTTTTTTTCTGTTAACTTGTATTGTTGCAATGGACACTTAAACGTGGTTGCTGTTCATTATTTACATTTTATGATGCTTTGGTGAAGAAATTAACAAGAAAGTTTAAATCACACCACTGCTTTAAGAAAAGAAATTTAGTAACTACGTTCACTCGATATTTTACGAATTTTCCAGACAGAGTTAAAATTTTAACTTTTTACGGAAAATATTTCTAATGCCTAATACTATAGTCGCACGGTGAACATAGTCCTTTGCTTTATGGGCTACATAGAGAAAAATATAATCGTACGGGTTTTTACTCTGAGGTTTTGAAAAGTACTTTGCACCGCCCTAAAGGCTTACAGCCCTGTATGTAGGTAACTTCGCAATTACCTACAATATTAAGCTTGATTGGTGTTTCAGTGATAACATATCGATTGTGTGATGCGATAAGATCACCCCGACCCTAATATTTGACCTCAGACGTAGTAGTTCTACTGTATTATATTCAAATAAATTATCATCCAAAACAGCTATAATAATAACAAGTACTGTTAGTGATGCAAAGGAACTATTAACCATAAAATGGCTGGTATTCAGCGAAAAAGCAAAGTGAAGCCAATGTACAAATTGAAATGTGTCGTTGTTGGGGATTTAGGAGTAGGAAAAACTACCCTGGTTAGATCTTTTGCAGAAGAGGGTCAGATCACGGGAGGGAAAACTCCTCCCAGAGGCATGTGGAAAAAGGAGATAAGCATGGACTCTTGTGTTGTGTATCTTTCTATCTGGGACACTGCAGGTATTGATTTCTCATATCATGTGCTCATTATGTCAGAAGTACATGTAGAATTGCTAGTGACTTATATGTATTATATATGTTTCCAGAATATCACAGATTGGTCCATTTTTTTATGTATCTATCAAATCATGTACACAAAATACCAAGACACACTGCTAGTGCTTGTTCTTAGGTATTTCAAGAATATCATAAGTTGTCTGAAGTCTGTCTGAAATTAAAAAATAAACGAAGCATTATTGTGTTTTAAAAGGATAATTGTGTTTTAAAAGGATTTTGGAAATTTTTTTTTTTTTGAGATCAAGGACTGGCTTTTTAAAATTTCAGCCCATTATTGGCTTCCTGGATGAAAATGAAATCTTCAATCTTTGGGATATAGCCAATCATATTCCAAAAGAGAACATTGATAATATGCTAGGTGTTAGCAGTAAGAGTTCTCTGGATCATATTTTTTTGTAGAATATGGTTGTTTTTTTTAACCCAAATTTGATTCTTCAATTCAAAACATCTGCAAGACGAAACCAATTATATTCCAAATAGAAAAAATTAACCAGTTTGGCTACTGTTTAAAATACAATAGGAGTTTGAGGAATAAGATAGCTTGAGAGACAACTAGCAAAGTTTACTGAGACTGTTTCTATTTAATGTATACAATCATAAAATATAATCATTTACCGTATGTATAAAAATATGCAGTGTGTCAACATGACCCATAATGATAATGTATCTACAATGTCAAGGTTGTCTTATTTCTACTTTAGATTTAATATCTGATTCCAATTTCCTTCTCTTATCAATACATATATATAATGTATCAGTTTGGTAATTACGCACAAAGCATTGGGTTTTATTTTCTGAAGTACAAATGATAAGCATTTTTGAATCTAAGTCTTTCGTTTAAAAAAAAATTGAGAGATTTTCTCTCTTTTCACCCACCTTTGACATAAACATGTACTATACATAAACAGTACTAATATATTTTATTGGGTAAATGCAACTTAAGTGGTATAAAATACCAGACGAAACTTCTACAAATTTATTTACTTAAAATAATAGGATTTTAAAAAACCACACCTTTTAGTACGTTGAGTTGTAATTTTAATTTTTACTTGTATTATTTCAATGAAAAATAATGATTTTTTTTCAAAAGCTTAATGTTATAGTCAAGATATAACTTATATAGTATTAATATAAAACATTGTCATGAAATGTCTTACTTGATAAATTTTTCAACAAAAAATAAGTCTCATACTGTTTTCCTTACAAACAGCTCAGCGAAATTTATTTTTGCTTAAAATGACATACACAGCAGGACAATTGTCCTGAGAATGAAATGTGTCATTTATTAAATATAACAATGACGAAATCTTAGATCAAAGGGGGGAATCTTAAATCAAAGGGGGGAATCAGCAAACAACAAACATTTTCTCATCTAGTTACATACATAAAGTTCATCACATTTATGCTGATTCCCTCTCCCTCAAAAAAAAAACACCAATATTTTCAAAAATAACAATAATACTGATTAGTTCAATCACAATCTTCGAAAAAATGTTTAAAAGCTTATAAAAGCCAACGTATGGCGAACAATAGGGCAAAAGATATGAGCATCTGATCATATCCAACGTGAACAAAGGCTTGTAATATGAGCGCAGCTATCGTATCAAAATAAATAAATAAAAATTGAAAAATAATAATAAAAACAAGATGTGTTTGTGAAACATTGATGCCCCCGTATGGCAATTTATAGCAAAGGTTACAATGTTTCAAATGCAAATCAAATATGCTGCTACCCAAAGTAAGGTCTCGTCTCGAGAAATATACCTGTGAAATATGAATCCCCTAGCAGCAACCATTGAAATATGGAAAAGGTTAGTTAAAGTTTTTCAAAAGTAAGTCAAACATCAAGGTCAAGGTCAAATTGTCAAAATTAATGGTGCCCAAGGAAAGGCCTTCTCACAAGAAATACACATGTGAAATATGAAAACCTTAGCACAAATCGTTCAAAAGTTATGGCCAAGGTTAAAGTTTTTCAAAAGTAGGTCAAACTCCAGGGACAAGGTCAATGGAGTACAATTATTGATAAAGGTCTTGTCACAAGGAATGGACATACATGTATTAAATAATACATATGAAAACCCTAGCACCAACTGTTCAAAGGTTATGCCCAAGGTTAAAGTTTTCCAAAAGAAGGTCAAACTCCAAGGTCAAAGGGTCAAAGTTGTTGGTATCCAAAGAAAGGCTTTGTAGCAAGGATTACATACTTGAAGTATGAAAGCTGTAACATCAACCGTTCAAAACTTATTGTCAAGGTTAAATTTTTCCAAAAGTAGGTCAAACTCTAAGGTCAAGGTCAAAGGGTCAAAGGTGTTGGTATCCAAAGGAAGGTTCTTGTCACAAGGATTACATACGTGAAGTATGAAAGCTGTAGCACCAACCGTTCAAAAGTTATGGCCAAGGTTAAGGTTTTTCAAAAGTAAGTCAAGGTCAAAGGTCAAGGGCAAAGGGTCAAAGTTGTTGGTCTCCAAAGAAAGGCCTTGTAGCAAGGATTACATTTTTGAAGTATGAAAGCTGTAACACCAACCGTTCAAAACTTATTGTCATGGTTAAATTTTTCCAAAAGTAGGTCAAACTCTAAGATCAAGGTCAAAGGTGTTGGTATCCAAAGAAAAGTCTTGTCACAAGAATTACATATATGAAGAATGAAAGCCCTAGCACCAACCATTCAAAAGTTAAGGCCAAGGTTAAAGTTTTTCAAAAGTAAGTCAAACTCCAAGGTCAAGGGCAAAGGGTCAAAGTTGTTAGTATCCAAAGGAAGGTCTTGTCACAAGGATCACATATATGAAGTATGAAAGCTGTAGCATCAACCATTCAAAAGTTATGGACAAGGATAAAGTTTTCCAAAAGTAGGTCAAACTCCAAGATCAAAGGATCAAAGTTGTTGGTATCCATTTATGAAGGTCTTGTCACAAGGATTACATATATGAAGAATGAAAGCCCTAGCACCAATATTCAAAAGTTATGGCCAAGGTGAAAGTTTTTTCAAAAGTAGGTCAAACTCCAAGGTCAAAGGGTCAAAGTTGTTGGTATCCGAAGAAAGATCTTGACACAAGGATTACATAAGTAAACTATGAAAGCCCTAGCACCAACCGTTCAAAAGTTATGGCAAATGTTAAAGTTTTTGCAAAACTGGGTCAAACTCCAAGGTCAAGGTCAAAGGGTCAAAGTTGTTGGTATCCTAAGGAAAGTTTTGTCACTAGGATTACAAGTATGAAAGCCCTAGCACCAACCGTTCAAAAGTTATGGCCAAGGTCAAAGTTCGGTAAAATTTTGCAAAACTGGGTCAAACTCCAAGGTCAAGGTCAAAAGGTCAAATCTGATAGTACCCAATAAAGGTCTTGTCACAAGGAATACACATGTGAAATATGAAAGCCATAGCTTCAACCAATCAAAAGTTATGGGCAATGTTAAAGTTTTAGTGGACAAACAGACAGAGAGACAGACGGACGGACAGGACAAATACTACATTGTGTATACCCCCGAATCTTCAATACGGGGGCCTAATAAAAATGTACAAAACCTTTCTGTTATTGTTCTATGAATATTCACTTTTACTTTCAATTTTTAATCGTCGGTTTGCCTCTCTTCAAAATATTGGAAAATACCTACAATTGAGATTGAATTATGTAAGCAATTTTTTTTAGGGGGGGGAGGGGGGATCATGAATTGGGAATGACTTAAAGAATCATGATGTCAAAATACGTAAGCTAGCGGGAAAATTAGTATTTAAAAAAAAAAATATATATATTCTTTAGTCATCATCAGGCGAATGGATATTTATTTAACAGTGTTTAACCAATAGAAATTTAGTTTTTTAAAGCATTTTTCATTCCATTTTTCAATCAACACTTTTGTTTGCATTAGGTCAAGAAAGGTATAGAAGTCTGACCGGGTCATATTACAGGGGAGCTCACTGCTGCATGATCGTGTTTGATGTAAATTCTTTAGATTCGTTCCAGAATGTACGAGAATGGTAAGTCAACTTTCAATAAGATAGAGAGCCATTTTCCATAAAACTGCATACACAATATATCTGCACTTCTCATACGGAAAATTTTGAATACTTTGCTATTGTATGATGGCACTACAACAAGTCAAATATGTAATGAATAAAAATGAACTAGAAATCGAAATGTTTGCTTCACTTTTATGACTTTATAAACCAGGGCCAAAAATAAAATAATGCATCATTTTAACTTTTACGGTTCATGGAACACAAGCTTTCTGAATCTTCATTTTAATGCATTTCAGTGACAATGGGTATTTGCTATTGACAATTTTAAACTGATTATAAATTGTTCATTCGTACACTAGTACTCTATTGATATTGCTTAATTTCAAAACAAAATTATACATTTATCCATGAAATTGTTTAATTGGACAAACAAACATTTGTAAATATTTACTTTTAAACCATTTTTTTTAAAGGTATGACAACATTGAAGAGTATGCAGAAAATCCTAACGAAATAATCAAAATGCTTGTCGGAACAATACGAAAGCAGAATAACAGGGCAGTAAGCTTAGAAAAGGCGGAGAGACTTGCCGATCATTTAGGTCTGTCATACCAGGAAATCAACTTTGAGAGTCAAAACAATATCAAGGACCTGTTTGAAACGTTAGCAGATTTAACACTGGTGGTGTACAGAGAAAATAAAATCTATCCAAACGTACCAGTGGTATTGCTCCCCAAAAAGCATCAAAAGGCCTCTTTTTGCTCCTGTTGATAGCACTGAATTGTGCATGAAAAGAAGAACTATTATTTCCTTGCATTTTGATCTGCTTACACATAACCGTCCAAATATATTTGCTACAATTATAGCACTTGGGTTTCGGATAAGTCATAAAGGATATGCATGAAAACTTTATAAAGTACTATTCTCTTTATCCGAGATTACTAGCATACGGGTACTTGTTTATTATAATGCTTAATTTTTTCAGGAAAAAAGGATTTGTACGCCTTTCTTCAAAGTAAATAAGTTAAGGATAAATGATACAAAAAGGGATGACTTGATTGGTATATCTTTTAGGATATAAATACTAAATTTCTAAAATATCAAGAATTTGTGAGCTTTCTATGAAGTTCAAAATTCAACTTTCTGTCACTACACATAGAAATCTATACAACTTTTTATCACTTTAAAGGAAAAATTGTAAGACTTTGAATGAAAAAACTAAAATCTATACGGTTAAACTTCACCATTTCCTACTTACATAAAGATGACTTAAATTTTGAGAAAAGTTTGTATCACCCGTCCTTAATTTACGCTGCAGTATTAAATTTATTTAAACGTTTAATACTGCAGATAGTTAAAAAAAAAAGGTTGAGTACTTGGGATATTGTCAGTTTCTCTAAAGATGAATATTTTGTTTATGTTTAATGACGTACATGAAACAGATATAATTTTTTTTCTTAAATGCACTGTACACAGATTTGTACTGTTTATTGATTTTTTAAAATATCGATCACTGTTCTTTATCTTCGTCTTTTTTTTTACTCAAAAGTCACGAAATACAATGGAAAACAAGATGTGTTTGTGAAACACTGATGCCCCCGTATGGCAACTTATAGCAAAGGTTAAACTTTCTCAAATGCAAATCAAATATGCATGTCTCGAGGAATATACATGTGAAATATGAAAGCCCTAGCAGCAACCATTAAATAGATAAGGAAAAGGTTGAGGTTTTTCAAAAGTAAGTCAAAAATCAAGGTCAAGGTCAAAATTAATGGAGCCTAAGGAAAGGCCTTCTCACAAGAAATATACAGGTGAAATATAAAAGCTGAAGAACCAAATGTTCAAATGATATGACCAAGGTTAAAGTTTTTCAAAAGTAGGTCAAACTCCAAGGTCAAAGGGTCAAAGTTGTTGGTATCCAGATGAAGGTCTTGTCACTTGGACTACATATGTGAAGTATGAAACCCCTAGCACCAACGGTTCAAAAGTTATGGCCAAGGTTAAAGTTTTCCAAAAGTAGGTCAAACTCCAAGGTCAAGGTCAATGGATTACAATTGTTGGTATCCAGAGGAAGGTCTTGTCAAAAGGATTACATATGTGAGGTAAGAAAGCCCTAGCACCAGCCGTTCAAAAGTTATGGCCAATGTTAAAGTTTTCCAAAAGTAGGTCAAACGCCAAGGTCAAGGTCAAAGGGTCAAAGTCGTTGGCATCCAAAGGAAGGTCTTGTCACAAGGATTACTTATGTAAAAAATCAAAGCCCTGGCACCAATTGTTCAAAAGTTATGGCCAAGGTTAAAGTTGGGAAAAATTTTGCAAAACTGGGACAAACTCCAAGGTCAAGGTCAAAAGGTCAAATATGGTGATACCAAAAGAAAGGTCTTGTCACAAGGAATACACATGTGAAATATGAAAGCCATAGCTCCAAGCAATCAAAAGTTATGGGCAATGTTAAAGTTTTTGCGGACAAACAGATAAACAGACAGACAGACAGACAGACAGACAGACAGACGGACGGACAGGACAAAAACTATATACCCCCGAATCTTCGATACGGGGGCATAAAAACAATTCTCAAGGTTCAGTTGAAGAGGAAATTATTGCCGAGTAATTGTAAGGGTAATATGTAAAATAGTTTTTGTTTTGATTTTTTGATTCAGCATATTTCGGGAAGAGAAATTCCAAGGAATATATATGCCCTGCTTAGCTAGTGTTACACAACTTTCAAAAAGTAGTGGGAGAATCTTTTATTTTGGACACAATGCCATTCAAAACCACTGCAATAACTACAGTCTTATGCCATTGACATTTGTTTTAGTTACATGTTACAGATCATACACAATATTGAAGTCCATACTACCGTCGTAATTTTGATAGGCAGTTCAATCTGATTAAAAATCTTCGATCCGCTCCTTCTTTTTTATTGTCTCTTGTAGCGACAATGAGGGAAGCGCATCGAGGATCTGATTAACATAAGATTGAAAAGCAATTTGAATTTGTACGAAATCAATGGAAAAATCTACTTGATGTTTAAGATGAGTAAATGTGTATATGTATAATTTAGATTTGATGACGTGTGGCATACCTTAAATGATTTGATTGTTTAAACATCTTTTTGTGAGAGAGAGAGAGAGAGAGAGAGAGAGAGAGAGAGAGAGAAGTTGAAAAAGAGGTTTATGAATCATAACAAGATACGTCTCAATATCAAATGTATCTTCAATAATCAACTTATCAAAAATAAACTTTAAACTGCTTTAAAATGGTAGTTTGTTAATTTATTAAGAAGAATTATAATGTATGAAACATTTTAGAGCTTTAATGTATTAAATCAAATTTATGATGAGCATGATTTATTTGTTTTGCTGTAACATTCACCCTATTCTATCATCTAATGTGAATCTGTAAATATATATAAATGAATAAAAGATAATGTGTAATAGTATTTTTTATTTCAAGCTGAAAGATAAGTCCATATGAAGGCTATGACATCCAATATTTTCAGGATAATTATCCGTCCATTTATTGATTACGTCAGATACAAAATTATGGACATTTAATATCAGTCTGATTCGTGACCAACAAACGACCTCTTTATTTACTCTGTACAACATTAGAGACCTTGGCTCCTGTTCATGTGTAAAGTTTACTGTATCCAGCTACATATAACCTTTCTGTACTTGGATTTCGTCGCATACAAAGGCATTTGTTCTTTGCCTTGATCTGCATCGCGTCGCATTGTTAGAGTATTTGAAGACTGAAGTGAAAGGTAAATATAAGGTCAACACTATGTAATAATGGTATTAAAAACATCTATATCAATATGCTTTATCATTTGAAGAATAAAATCATAAAAGTTATATTTATTAAACAAAAAAAGTTTAGTAAAAATGCTGCTAAAATTCAACAATTCGTAAAAAACAGGATTAAAAAAAACAAAACAAAAAACCCCCCAGAAGTCTCTGATGAGACTGTAGCTCTACTGGTTGTACTTATGAAGGAAGATAAAAGTAGCACTAGGACTTGAAACTTTGCAAGAGCAATAAATGGAATTATGTTCCTTGGTTTAGTCTGTTTTTGTGGCAAGATTTATTGCAATCGAATAAAACTGTAGGGGGAGTAGCCTTTTAAAATAATTTTACAGAAATTTCGATTTAAGTAACCATGGCAACATCATTCAACAAAATCAAAAAGCAATAATGACAATTATGTATCTCAGTGTAGTCTACTTGTGTGCCAAGTTATATTGAAATGAGATCAAAACTGAAGCAGGAGTAGCATTTTGAATGTATTTCAATGAAATTTCTATTTTTAGTTACCATTGGAACATCGTTCATTGAAATCAAAAACCGATATACAGAATTATGTATCTTAGTGTAGTCTACTTGTGTGCCAAGTTATATTAAAAAGAGATCAAACCTGTAGGAGGAGTAGCGTTTTGAATGTATTAAACAGAAATTTCTATTTTTAGTAACCATGGCAACACCGTTAAATGAAATCAAAAACCGATAAACAGAATCATGTATCTTAGTATAGTCTACTTGTGTGCCAAGTTATAATGAAATCAAATCAAAACTGTAGGAGGAGTAGCGTTTTAAAAGTACTTCACAGGAATTTCTATTTTTAGTAACCATGGCAACACAGTTCATTGAAATCAAAAACCGATAAACAGAATCATGTATCTTAGTATAGTCTTCTTGTGTGCCAAGTTATAATGAAATCAAATCAAAATTGTAGGAGGAGTAGCGTTTTGAAAGTACTTCAAAGAAATTTCTATTTTTAGTAACTATGGCAACACAGTTCATTGAAATCAAAAACCGATATACAGAATCATGTGTCTTAGTATAGTCTACTTGTGTGCCAAGTTATATTGAAATCAGACCAAAACTGTAGGAGGAGTAGCGTTCTGAAAAAAAAAATGCTTACAGACGGACGGACAGACGGACGGACGCCGGACACCTTACTATCGCATAAGCTCTTCTGGTCACAATATTTTATCTCACTCTTTAGTGGTCTTATTTTTTCTCCTCAGAGATTTATATTCATAATTGAAATTGACCGATCACAGTAGCCTAATGGTAGATGTAGGTTGTTCACTTCATGATCGGGAGGCCCGGATTCGATTTTCTTCGCCCCGCCCCGTCAAACTTAAGATCCTAACCATAGGAAATGACTGTTCTTCGCCAAACACCAGGTATTAGAATCGAAACAGGGCCCCATGTCACGGCAGGTGTTGGTGCATGTGATAAAGAACCCTAGTTCGTAGTTATATGAGATTAAGGAATTAAGATATAAGTCTAGAAACACGTACCTTTTACATTGTTTACATATTTCATTGCAAGCGGAAAGGTATAAATAAAGTTCAACACCAAAAATGGTAATCATAAATTTTACTGGAAGAAAGACATAAAAGGTAATCAAGAAAAATGGAGGCCAATTACATAGCATCTCCCTGATATTTGTTTATGTTTCTCTATAAATTTAATTATCAGACAAAGTGAGATGATTTCTCCGTTTTATGGGTATTCTCACCTGAAAACGAAAACAACCATCAAAGAGGAACTATTTGTTTACTTTATATATAACCATCAGATAAAAATTAAATGATAACTAAACGCAACGACAGCAAAAGCTGATTTTTTCATGCACCTTTATTTCTGTAACATCAATATTTTCTGGTCGATAAAAACAAACTTGAGAAAGAATTTCAACACATAAAAAACGTAATTATTATTGAAAACCAACTACTACTTAAATTACTACTACCGAATCATCAT